AAAATATTTAAACACCTTTAGAAGAATATGTCTAAAGATCTTATAAATCTAAAAAGTAATAAAATATGATAAAACATAAGTATCAATTTATAAAATATAAAAGTAATTTGGATATAAATAATTTACATATTTTTTTCAAAACATGCATTATTGATTCAAAAATACATTAATTTCTATGCATATATCAAAATTTATAAGATTAATTTAAAAATACATATTTACTTAAGAAGATAATTTATATACTATTCTAAAGAAGCCTTAATTTTAAATGATTCTTAAAATCTTTAAATATTATACCTGATATTATTAATAAAAGAGCATATTTGAATTATATAAAATCATGTATATTTTATATATATATATATATATATATATATTTATACTAATATACATACATATTAATATCTCTGTATATTTATATTTGAACATTTGTACAATAAGTATACAAAAACTTTCTTATACTATTTATTATCATTTCTGTTGTAATAAGGCTTTTATATCCAATAGCCCAATTTGAAAGACCAAAGTACAAAAGCGTTACTTACAACCAGACTTGATAAAGAAAGAACTCTCTTTAAGAAGCCATAGCCTTTTGTGATAGTATAAAGTCTAGACATCTTAAATCATATCTTCATTCTTTTAATTATAACAAACATAAATGTATTTGATGTTTTTATTTTTTGATATTTATTTATTGTACTTAATTATTATGATTTATTGATTATTATAAAAACCACATCTTTTTCATAGAATTGTTTTAACTTTTAAATAATATAACTATTAATGCCATGTAGAAAAGTCATGTATTCTAATTCATATTCTTTTCTTGTGGCATGTAGGCTTATTTTCCTAAATATAAATCTTACAAGTCAAGCCTATTCATTTTAGACAATCAAAGGACTCAAAAGATGTGGCATTTCACCTCCTCTTCAATGTAAAAATGCATCTTCAAATCATATTTTTTGTTGCACTACAAGAATCTATGCAAATTACTTCATGATGCAATTGGAAATACAATCTTCTATTTATCTTAAATATATTTTATGTTTAATGGTTTGTAATGATAATTGTGAATTAATGTCTTGTGTTTCATCACTTTTACTATATGATGTTATATTTGGTGGTGTATAAGATTACAAATTGCATTACTTCAACATTGTATGACACAAACATGTAGTTGTCACTAACATTTGAAATTGCAACCATTCCAAAATATTAATAAATTGAGTGGTATTGCACTTACATACTACTCAAAAGTCACTTTATTATTATTCATCACTTTAAACTATGGCAACATAAGTAAATAGTTGAATTCAAGAATACTTTAATCTTTCTAGTATTTTTGAAGAATTTGACTATAGAAGGTAAATCAAATGTTTTGACATATATTTATTGAAGCATGTATAAATTCCTTTCTTTGTTGAATGTAGAATATTGAAGCAGTGAAGTTTCTACAAATCAAAGCCTAACCATTCTAAAAAGAAGGCTTCTTGATGACACAATTGCTACTTCATTTCTAATGCCATTTAACTTTAACATGTGAATAAGATCATATCATGTATATCAAATAAATAAATTTGAATGCATTTATGTGACTTAACAAAAAAATGTTGACAACTTCATCAATAGCCATGTTCCTACATTTTCTTCTTTTACAAATGCATCTTTGGCTATAAAATTAGTTTCAAGTGTATTTACGCTGGTTAATGTATGATCACCTCCTTCCATGTTGCATTTGAAGAATTGACACCAAACAAGTATAATAATGAATAGAAACTTATTGTTAGTAAAAATTCAAAGTAATCTTTGTGACTTTGCACATCCTTTGCAATGAGTAATGGGGTCAACATTCTTATCCTTTGGATTTGTGCCAATGACTTTGAGTGGTTTGAAATGTCATTGATACATGGTGTTAAAAGTGGATGTTTCTATGACTTGATGGATGACCTTGTGTAGCTTTTATGATTTTTCCAAGGTTTGTCAAAACAGACAATATGCCTATTTTGGTATTTGAAAAAGAAAAGAAGTCTTTCCACCAAACGACTCAATGATGCTCACACCTTTTCTCGTCTTTTTGTGCATTTCTTTGTGATTTCCTGTCATGAACATGAACAGCAACCAAACAAGTATTTCTTTCCTTATCTCTTTCTGTTTCTCTCCCTTGTGTTCCAGGTTTTCTTCCTTGTTCAAACATGAGGTCGGCAATTTGTTTATGAAACACGCCAGCCATTCTTGTAGATTACAACAGCATTTGAGGTGCTTGGAAACAAGTTTAAATAGCTCCGCTGTGATCCGACATTGTCTCAAATCAAAGCTGTTTGTGAAATTGTTTTCCGCGCAGGCTTTTGAAAACATTCATTCACTTCCCATGCTGTTACAAAGTCTACCCGCGGGATTTGGACCCAGTGATTGGGTCGACATGTTGGCGTTGCCACCGCTGTCAGCCCCACCCCGTGCGTGACAGTGGCGGGTTTTTCCCGAACCTCTGATCCTTCACCATGAACACATGGGATATGACAGATA